GGAAGGAGGGGAGAAAAGAGAGGGAGCAAGAAAAGGAAGGAAAAAGAGAAAAGGAAAGGAACAAGAAAAGAAGGAAGAGAGGAAGGAGGGAGGGAGGAGAGAAAAGGAAGGGAACAAGAAAAGGAAGGAAGAAGGAGGGAGGGAGGGAGAAGGGAGGAAACAAGAAAAGGAAGGAAGGAGGGAGGGAGGGAGGGAGGAGAGAAAAGGGAGGGAACAAGAAAAGGAAGGAAGAAGGAGGAAGGGAGGGAGGGAGAAGGGAGGGAACAAGAAAAGGAAGGAAGGAAGAAGGAGGGAGGGAGGAGAGAAAAGAGAGGGAACAAGAAAAGGAAGGAAGGAAGGAAGGAAGGAGGAGGGAGGGAGGGAGGGAGGAGAGAAAAGAGAGGGAACAAGAAAAGGAAGGAAGAAGGAGGAAGGGAGGGAGGGAGAAGGGAGGGAACAAGAAAAGGAAGGAAGGAAGGAGGAGGGAGGGAGGAGAGAAAAGGGAGGGAACAAGAAAAGGAAGGAAGAAGGGAGGGAGGGAGGGAGGAGAGAAAAGGGAGGGAACAAGAAAAGGAAGGAAGGAGGGAGGGAGGGAGGAGAGAAAAGGGAGGGAACAAGAAAAGGAAGGAAGGAAGGGACTCCTCCTCCCACCCTCCCTCCCTCCCTCCCTTCTAGCACTGATGATGTTACCTAGCTGGGTCGTGAAACGTCTGCAAGAAAGCCACCCAGCTCAGAGAGCACCAAGGGCCCCAAAGGGTTTTTTTTGTTTGTTTTTGTTTTGAAAGCTCTAGTTAGGGCTGAGGGTCTTCAGCAGAGAAGACCCCTGGCCCCTCTTTTCTTCTCCCGATTCTAACCTCTCCAGTCCTGTCACCCAGATATGGGGGTGCCTGAAACCAGGAGCCCTGGGGGGATAATTGCTTCCTTTATCCTGGGGCTTACAGGAGATTAAGCCTTCTTTGCCTTATGACTTGGCTCGGGTGGGAGGGGGAGGGAAAGGTGGAGGAGCAGAAGAAGAGACATTACAGAAGGGAAAAGGGTGACCTTTGCTGGGGCAGGAGCAGCAGAGGCAGCCGGTGCAGGCGGCCAACTTGGGTCTGGATTGGGTTCTTCCTTTCCCTCGCAGACAATTTGTGGGTGACGTTTTAACACAGAGAGGAAAAAGGGCTGGAATCCACTGACTCTTGAGGCAGAATAGTTTAAATTCCCGTCCTTTTCCCCAGCTTCCTACAAGCCCACTTTATTATGGGCCCTGTTCAGAAGGATATATGTTTGTTTATTTATTTATAGATTAGATCTTTATCCTGCCTTCTATTCTATTCTGTTCTGTTCTGTTCTGTCCTGTCCTGTTCTATTCTGTAATTCTATTTTATTCTGTAATTCTATTCTATTCTATTCTATTCTATTCTATTCTATTCTATTCTATTCTATTCTTTTCTGTTCTGTTCTGTTCTGTTCTATTCTATTCTATTCTAGTCCTGTCCTGTCCTATTCTGAAATTCTATTCTATTCTATAATTCTATTCTGTAATTCTATTCTATTCTATTCTGTAATTCTGTTCTATTCTGTAATTCTATTCTATATTCTATTCTATTCTATTTTAATTCTATTCTATTCTGTAATTCTATTCTATTCTATTCTTATCCTATCCTATCCTATCCTATCCTATCCTTCCCGATGTGTCAATCTGCCTCTAGAAGTAACCAGTTTTGGGAAGACCAGGGATGCAAGCCCACTGACTCATCATTTCAGTATTTTTGGCTACCCCCACTGGAGAGACAAACAAATTAGCCCTACCTACACCCTATAGATTCTTTACTTCAAGTCAGCGTTCTTTCTCCAATGAAGGGGAAGAATCCCACATCTAGCGGAAGAAAAGACAAGTCACACAGCACCCCCAACGAAGCTCTCGTTAAATCTTAAGCTTAAATCTCCAAAATGGCACCTGGGCGCAGTTTGGGACTCCGCAGAGACATTTTTGATTGACTTCCAGCCAAACACAGCTGTGAATGACACATCCTGTGGGAGGCTTCCCTGGAACATGGAGGGGGGCCTGGGGTTGGGCCTGGGAGGGTCTGCAGAACCGACTCTGTGGAGGCAGCTTTGAACCACTCTTGGGAAAGCATCTCCTTGGTGTCTTTTAGGTTTTGCCTGGGGCCACAACTCGCTTCCTGAAATATCCTGGGAACTTCCAAGGAATTGGATATTATCAGCCTCAGAGTGCCTACACATATGTAGGTGTGCATACACACTGAAGAGAGAAAGAAAGAAGAAAGAAGAAAGAAGAAAGAAGAAAGAAAAGGAGAAGGGAGGGAGGGAGGGAGGGAGGGAGGGAGAGAGGGAGAAGAAAAAAGTGAGGGAAAAAGAAGGGAGAATGGGAGAGAAAGAAGAAAGGGAGGGAAGACACAAGGGAGGGAGGGAGAGAGGGAGGAAAGAAGGATGGAAGGAAGGAAGAGGAAGAAGAAAGGGAAGGAAATAAGGGAGAGTGGGAGAGAAAGAACAAAGAGAGGGAGAACGGAAGGAAGGAAGGAAGGAAGGGAGGGAGGGAGGAAGGAAGGAAGAAGAAAGGGAAGGAAATAAGGGAGAATGGGAGAAAAAGAAAGAGAGGGAGGACAGAAGGAACGAAGGAAGGAAGAAAAGGAAGGAAGAAAAGAAGGAAGGAAGAAAAGAAGGAAGGAAGGAAGGAAGGAAGGAAGAAGAAAGGGAGGGAAATAAGGGAGAGTGGGAGAGAAAGAACAAAGGGAGGGAGGGAGGAAGGAAGGAAGGAAGGAAGGAAGGAAGGAAGGAAGGAAGGAAGGAAAATAAGGAAAGGAAGGAAGGAAGGAACAGCCTTAAGTGTGAAAAATGGCTGTGAGTTCCTTTTTTCCCCGCTGCCGTTGTAACTTCAAACGGTCGCTAAACAAATGGCCGTAAGTCGAGGATTATCTTGTAAGCAGCACAATTTCAAAATACAGAGATCTGCCAGCAACGGCCGAGTCCTTTCAGGATTATTCACCCTTCAGGAGAGGCGATGACAACTCGCCCGTGGGACGAGAGCGACGGTTCAAATGGAAGAAACAGTCGAATGGGGTCGTTCAAGTCAAGGATGCCAAAGGAGGGACAAAATAAAACGCGAATGACGAAAATTAAGATGCTTTTTAAAAACCTTATTTGAAATTGTTGGACCGTCCCGTTTTCTGCGCGTTGGGAGTTCTCTCTTTCCGCCTTCGGGAACCCTGCTTTAAAACCTCTAAAACTGGAATCCTGTTCTTCTGGAAAATGTTTGCAAAGTTCATCTCGGTGGCTAACCGCCCCCCCCCCTTTCCTAACCTTCCTGCTCCTGCCATCATCACCCACCTTCTCAGCAGCGACCCGAGGTCAGCTATTTCGGCTTAAAATAGCAGCCCCAAAGCAAGTGATGGGCCTGGAAGGAGAACAGGGTCTCCACTTTCTGCACTCCGCTACTTTGGCTCGGCTCCCAGCCTTTTCAAACGGACCCCCACCCCCATTTGTTTGGACCTCTTCCCAGAGGAAAAAAAAAAGGAGGGGGGAGAGAAAAAGAAAGCAATTCTCAATTATTGCTTTAATTCACAAAGCGCCAGATTGGAAGGAAGCTTTTGCAAAGCAAATTTCAGACCCGGGATAATGAATTGAAAATGGTAGCCTGGTTCTCTCTTGCTTACTTTTTCTAAGAAAACATTCTTTAGAGGGGTGGGGTGGGGGAGGAGGAAACCCAGCATCGTGCAGGGACTGGGGATAAAGTTTAGGCTGGATCTGGAAAGAGGTCATTTTCATTTTTTAAAAAATAAAAAACCATAAATTTTTGATTGCCTTTGGCGATCTGCTGCTGCCTTAATAACTCTCTCGCTCTCTCTTCTTTTTAACAAACAAAGAAAGAAAAAAACAGAAGAGAATCTTTGTAGCTCAGTGTGGAACTGTGGGGTCCTTGGTAGTTTTCTTACAGATGTTGCATTAGCCAATTAAATAACATATTCAGCGCTAAAAGGGAATGGGGTTTGTGGAGAGGAGGAGGAGGAAGAGGAGGAGGAGGAGGAAGAGGAGGAGGAGGACTGTGGTGTCCTTGGTGCTCTCTGAGCTTGGTTGTTTTCTTGCAGATGTTTCATGACCCAACTAGATAACATCCTCAGTGCTAGAAGGGAGAAGGAGGAGGAGGAGGAGGAGAAGAAGAAGAAGAAGAAGAAGAAGAAGAAGAAGAAGAAGAAGAAGAAGAAGAAGAAGAAGAAGAAGAAGAAGAAGAAGAAGAAGAAGAAGAAGAAGAAGAAGAAGAAGAAGAAGAAGAAGAAGAAGAAGAAGAAGAAGAAGAAGAAGAAGAAGAAGAAGAAGAAGAAGAAGAAGAAGAAGAAGAAGAAGAAGAAGAAGAAGAAGAAGAAGAAGAAGAAGAAGAAGAAGAAGACTGGGATCCTTGGTGCTCTCTGAGCTTGGGGGTTTTCTTGCAGATGTTTCATGACCCAACTAGGTAACATCCTCAGTGCTAGAAGGGAGGAGGAGGAGGAAGAGGAGGAGGGGGGAGGAGGGGGGAGGAGGGGGAGGAGGAGGAAGAGGAGGAGGAGGAGGAGGGCTGTGAGGTCCTTGGTGCTCTCTGAGCTGGGTTGTTTTCTTGCAGATGTTTCATGACCCAACTAGGTAACATCCTCAGTGCTAGAAAGGAGGAGGAGGAGGAGGAGGAAGAAGACTGTGGGGTCCTTGGTCCTCTCTGAGCTTGGTTGTTTTCTTGCAGATGTTTCATGACCCAACTAGATAACATTCTCAGTGCTAGAAGGATGTGGGGGGGTTATAAACAGAGAGCCAACCCTACTCCCTTCTAGCAGTTTCATCTGCTTTCCAGATTAAATTGTCTTCCCCAGATGGGCATCAGGGGAACACATTCAGTTCAACCCAACCCAACCCAACCCAACTCAACTCATTCTCCTCATAACCACCTGCTTGTATTATCAGGAATGTTATCAAATATTCACCCAGGCTATATCATTTCTGCCTTCCGCTCAGTACCACGATTGACCCGCGCAGGCCCTCTGTTTACTTACACAGTCTCATCGTCCTTGAACTCCAGTTCTCCGCAGGAGTCCTCATAGTCCACACCCCCTCCTTGAGCAGTCCCCTCCACCGTCTGGTAGGGGACCATCACAGTCCCTCGGGCCCCCGAGCTCCGGGTGACCTTGACCTCCAGGGTCCCTTGGCACTCGCTGACCCTTAACAGTTTGTCCTGGAAGGCAAAAATGCCGGCGTGGTCATCGTCCAGAATAGTCACGGTGGCCACCAGCGGGGCTACCAGGCGTCCCTTGGGGTGTTCGGTAGAGTCCGACTCAAACATGCCTTCCGCGTCCCCCACCCGCAGGTTCAGAAGCCGGACGAAAAAATGTTCGTCTTCTTCAAAGATGTCATCATCAATTATGCCGATCTTCAGCTCCTTCTGGGTCTCGCCAGGCTTGAAAATCAGGGTGCCCTCGCTGTACTCGTAATCTGAACCTGCCTTGGCCGAACCATCCTCAGTCTTGTAGTCTACGTAGAAGGTGTTGTAGGTGTCTCCACCTTGCTGGCAAGTCACGGTCAAGGTGACCGAGCCACAGTTCTCCAAGCAGTGATACATGAACGGCTCAAAGAAGATCTTGCTGTAGTTCTCCTCCACTTCTGCTTCGGAGGGCACCTCCAGAAGGTTGGTGGACTTCTTGGAGAATTCCGTGACATGCTTCTTGAGGATGTTTCCCGCCCCGGTCATCATGCGTGTCGCCTGGATGCGGTAGAAAGCCCGGCTCTTCTGTTGATGCAGTAGAGCGTAGTAGTTGGCGATCTCCACCAGCTGCTCCAGCTCTTTATCTGGGTGCTTCTGCTTGAGGTCTTTCAAGATCTGGATGACCTCTTTGCGGCTCTCGTCCAGCTCTTTCTCCTCCTGGGTGACGACCGGAAGGGGAGCCACAGACGCTGCGCTGCCGTCCACAAAGACACTCTCTCGGTGGTCATTGGCCACGAATCCCCCGTCCATCTCGATGCCTTTGGGGAACTCTCCCTCGGTTCCGATGATGATGCCACTGCGAGGATCCGCCCTATACCTCTTGTAGACATACTTGTAGAACAGCAGCCGTTTGTCAGCTATCCAGGCGAAGACAACGCAGATCGGGAAGAAGATCAGGGTCAACAAGGCCTCCCATACTTCGACGATCCCTGGGGAGAAGACAGCTAAGATCAGGTACAACCAGATGTAGGCGAAGATGCTCCAGGAAGCGGTGACAAAGAAGACCCTCAAGTGCTTGATCTTGCGGCTCTCACCACTGGGGATGACGTAGACGCAGACGGCGAGGACCACGAACATGTTGAAGGCCGCGCTGCCCACAATAGTGCCAGGGCCCAGTTCTCCTGCCTGGAAGTTATGGCCGCAGACCTCAATGACAGACAAAAGGATTTCAGGAGCCGAGGAACCCAACGCCATGAGGGTGAGGTTGGAGACCGTCTCGTTCCAGATCCTCACGGTGCCGATGCTGGTCTCCCCGTTGGCTTTGGTGATGGTGATCTCCTTCTCTTTGGAAGTGATGACTTCGATGGAGGCCATGAAGCGGTCCGCAATGATGGAGACCCCTAAGAACATGTACATCATGGCCACAAAGTAGACGATGGCCCGGGCAGCCTTGTCACCAAAAGAAGGGTTGTCCGGCTGCCAAACTGGGAGGAGCACTCCCGGTTGACACTTAGTAAAACCTTCGCAGGTGCCATTCGCTTCCGGGTCAAGTTCATTGGCACCAACCCAGGAGGCGTTCCCAGCACAAAAGACCCCGGCCACCAAGATTTTGGTAAGAAAGGAAGAGGAGATCCTCGGCTGCCACCACGGAAACAGCATCCTTCTTGAGTAGTTAAGGGCCACAGGATCTGGGAGGGAGGACAAGAAGAAGGAAGAAACATTAGCGTTCTTGGGAGCTGCCCTCCAGGGGTTAAGGCACCAGACTAGGAAGAAGGAGACGGTGAGTTCTAGTCCCGCCTTAGGCATGAAAGCTGACTGGGTGACTTTGGGGCGCATCACCAGGAGATGGTGAGTTCTAGTCCCGCCTCAGGCATGAAAGCTGACTGGGTGACTTTGGGCCCATCACCAGGGGACAGGGAGTTCTAGTCCCGCCTCAGGCATGAAAGCTGACTGGGTGACTTTGGGCCCATCACCAGGAGACAGGGAGTTCTAGTCCCGCCTTAGGCATGAAAGCTGACTGGGTGACTTTGGGCCAATCACCAGGGGACAGGGAGTTCTAGTCCCACCTCAGGCATGAAAGCTGATTGGGTGACTTTGGGCCCATCACCAGGAGACAGGGAGTTCTAGTCCCACCTTAGGCATGAAAGCTGACTGGGTGACTTTGGGCCCATCACCAGGAGACAGGGAGTTCTAGTCCCACCTTAGGCATGAAAGCTGACTGGGTGACTTTGGGCCCATCACCAGGAGACAGGGAGTTCTAGTCCCACCTCAGGCATGAAAGCTGACTGGGTGACTTTGGGCCCATCACCAGGAGACAGGGAGTTCTAGTCCCACCTCAGGCATGAAAGCTGACTGGGTGACTTTGGGCCCATCACCAGGAGACAGGGAGTTCTATTTCCGCCTTAGGCATGAAAGCTGACTGGGTGACTTTGAACCAATCACCAGGAGACAGGGAGTTCTAGTCCCACCTTAAGTACGAAATCTGGCTGGGTGACTTTGGGCCAATCACCAGGAGACAGGGAGTTCTAGTCCCCCCTTTAGACATGAAAGATAACTGGGTGAATTTGGTCCAGTCCTTCTCCTTCAATCTAATGCACTTCACAGGGCTGTTGTGGGAAAAATAGAAGAAGGAACGTATGTTGGATATGTTTGCTGCTTTGATAAGACTGTACTTGGAATATTGCATTCTGTTTGGGTTGTTTTGATACAAAAAAGATACTGAGACTCTAGAAATAGTGTAGAGAAGAGGAACAAGGATGATAAAGGGTCTGGGGGCTAAACCATACAATGAACGGTTACAGGAACTGGGTATGTCAAGTCTAATAAAGAAAAGAACTAGGAGTGATATGATGGTGGTCTTCCAATATCTCAGGGGCTGCCCCAAAGAAGAGGTAGTCAAGCTATTCTCCAAAGCCCCTGAAGGCAGGACAAGAAGCAACGGGTGGAAACTAATCAAGGAGAGAAGCAACCTAGAACTAAGGAGAAATTTCCTGACAGTTAAGATAATTAAACAATGAAAGTTGTGGGGGCTCCAACACTGGAAGTTTTTAAGAGATTGGGTAACCATCAGGCTTGAATTAGAAGATCTACAAAGTCCCGTCCAATCCTCCTATTCTGCGCTCTGAGTTCGAATCCTATCCTAGCAACGTCCTGTGCATTGCTTTAGAGTTTAGACAAAGCATTTTTCGAGTCTCAACCACCCTTTGTTTACTTTCTACCTATCATTTGCCCACTCAGATAACAAATTAGCAAGGGAAGGGGGAAGATATTATGTCTTAAACAAATCTGCTTTTAAAACAGCCTGCAGGTTCTATTCTATTCTATTCTATTCTATTCTATTCTATTCTATTCTATTCTATTCTATTCTATTCTATTCTATTCTATTCTATTCTATTCCATTCTATTCTATTCTATTCTATTCTTCTATTCTATTCTATTCTATTCATTCATTCCATTCATTCATTATTCTATTCTATTCTATTCCATTCTTCTATTCTATTCTATTATTCTATTCTATTCTATTCTATTCTATTCTATTCTATTCTATTCTATTCTATTCTATTCTATTCTATTCTTGTTCCTGTTCCTGTTCCTGTTCCTGTTCTGTTCTATTCTATTCTATTCTATTCTATTCTATTCTATTCTATTCTATTCTATTCTATTCTATTCTATTCTATTCTATGTTGGCCTCAAATATTAAGTCCCCGGTGATCTCTTAAACAGGGATAGCTGTTATACTACAGAAATTACCATCATTTTCTTTCTCTCCCTCTTCATGCTTTATCCTGTTTTGATTACTGTCATTGATAGCTGAATACTAATTTGATTTTAATAATGACCTGCTGGGTTTCCTTAAAATGCAGAGGAGATTTAACAACATAAAATTAAACTAATGTCAGGCTGAAAGTTATTGTCTAACATATTCAATTTTATTCAAGGGCATGGTGTTTGGAAACCTTATGCTTCTTCTGTTTTGCTTTCCCGTTCCTTATTTGCTCTTTATCCCCCCCTTTTACAATTTAATGATACAAGATAAAAAAAGGGGAGAGGAAGAATCAAAGAGCTGAGGTCATCTAGTCCAGCCCTCTCTTCCTCGGTAGAGACAGATGAATTGAACATAATGTTTAAATTGTTAATCTTGCAAAGCCATGTCTATGCGTAGTAGTCCTTGACCTTTAAAAGTTACATTGGCACTGACAAAAAAGTAGCCTAGGTCTGGTCCTCACACTTACGACCAGGGCCATATCCCCAAAGTCACGTGATCAGAATTGGCAACATGTATTCAAAACAACTGAAAGCATTTCAGGATCTTGCGATCCCTCCCCAGCCGACTTCCATCAAAGCAAAATCAATGGGAAAAGTCGGATTCGCTGAACAGCCACAGCGATTGACAGAACAGCTGGGATAAAAAGGTCGTAAAATCAGATGCAACCACCTTGCATGTGTATTTCACACATTTTGCATAGGTATTTCACCTACCTATTTTACCTATTTTGCATATGTATTTCATGTACCTATTTTGCATACATCTTTCACCTGCCTATTTTACGTATTTCGTATACGTATTTAACTCCCTCTTTGAGGAGAGGTCGAGAAATGTGAAATATAAATAAATAAATAGGTAAAAAAAGGTGAGGCTTAGATGAGATGATAGGGGCCACTGTCTTTTTTTTTTACTTCTCTGCAGACACCCCTAATGGACCTGGTTTTCTTTTTTATTGTTGACTTCCACTTTAGGAAAATCATATTGTCTCCCAGCGAACAAGCGGAGGGCAAAAGTGGCTTCTCCCTGATCTGCCAACACCACTTGAATGAAAGGAAACCCAAGGGGACTGGAGGCTAAAGCATATAAGGAACGGTTGCTGGAATTGGGTGTGTCTAGTTTAATGAAGAGAAGAACAAGGGGGGACGTGATAGCAGTGTTCCAGTATCTCAGGGGCTGCCCCAAAGAAGAGGGAGTCAAGCTATTCTCCAAGGCGCCTGAAGGCTGGACAAGAAGCAACGGGTGGAAACTCATCAAGGAGAGAAACAACCTAGAACTAAGGAGGAATTTCCTGACAGTGAGAACAATTAACCAGTGGAACAACCTGCCTCCAGAAGAGGTGAATGCTCCAACGCTAGAAGTTTTTAAGAAGAGACTGGGCAGCCATTGGTCTGAGATGGTATAGGGTTTCCTGCCTGAGCAGGGGGTTGGACTCGATGACCTCCAAGGTCCCTTCCAACTTTATTATTATTATTAAGCACCCTTCTTCTTTGCAGAAAATAAAAATAAAAACAGGGCAAAATATTATTTCAAAGCACGAAAGACACGAAACACCTTCTGCTGGGTTCAGTTCCCTCGGATTCACGTGCCGACCACGTCCCTAAAAAGAAACTGAGTTGCAAGGCGCAACTAGGATCGTGTGTGTGTGTGTGTGTGTGTGTGTGTGTGTGTTCAGGCGTGTGTGTCTGTGCTTGTGTGTGTGTGTCCATCCTTTATAAAGTTTGCCTGGGCAAAATGCGGACCAGGAACGCCGCGTCTGTGAAAACCCATCTGCACCAGCTTTGGAAGACCAGCTTTTGCAAACGGTGCTGTGCTCAACCCGTAGCAACGCCACCGTTCCCGTAGCAACCGAACTATAAAAAGGATGCTAAACTCGGGGATATAAAAAGAAGGAGAAGCATGAGGGACGTGTCTAACAGAATAACAGAGTTGGGAGGGGCCGTGGGACCTTGGGAGGGACCAGAATAACAGAGTTGGGAGGGATCTTGACCTGCTGGATTTCCTTAAAGGGCAGAGGAGATTTAACAACATAAAATTAAACTAATCAAGTTATTTTCCAAAGCCCCTGAAGGCAGGACAAGAAGCAATGGGTGGAAACTAATCAAGGAGAGAAGCAACCTAGAACTAAGGAGAAACTTCCTGACAGTTAGAACAATTAACCAGTGGAACAACCTGCCTCCAGAAGCAGTAAATGCTCCAACACTGGAAGTTTTTAAGAAGAGACTGGACAGCCCCTTGTCTGAAATGGTGTAGGGTTTCCTGCCTGAGCAGGGGGTTGGACTAGATGACCTCCAAGGTCCCTTCCAACTTTACTATTATTATTATTATTATTACTATTACTATTATTAATGTCAGGCTGAAAGTTATTGTTTAGCATATTCAATTTTATTCAAGGGCGTGGTATTTGGAAATCTTATGCTTCTTCGTGATGTGTTTTATTTCGGTTTGATGTGACAAAGAGACCATCCTGAGTTTGGAATCCAGGGGTCTGAAGGCAAAAATTGTATGATGAATAGCAATAGACTTATAGACTGCTTCACAGTGCTCTACAGCCCTAAGCGGTTTACAGAGTCAGCATGTTGCCCCCCCCAACAATCTGGGTCCTCATTTGACCGATCTCAGAAGGGTGGAAGGATGAGTCAACCTTGAGCTGGTCAGGATTGAACTGTTGGCAGTTGAGAAAGTTAGCCTGCAATACTACATTCTAACCACTGGGAAGGAAGGAAGGAAGGAAGGAAGGAAGGAAGGAAGGAAGGAAGGAAGGAAGGAAGGAAGGAAGGAAAAAAGGAAGGAATAAAGGAAGGAAGGAAGGAAGGAAAAAAGGAAGGAAGGAAGGAAGGAAGGAAAGAAAAAAGGAAGGAAGGAAGGAAGGGAGAGGGAGGGAAGGAGGAAGGAAGGGCAATAACACATAGACTTATATACCGC